GAGCACCATGATGACAAGTCTACAGGCAGGAGTCACTGATGGTGGGATTAGCATAGTCTCAAAAGTGTCTCCCCACAAGGAACTTACAGGAAAAAAGAAAGATACTAGCTCTGTGCAGGAGAAGCCTGGCCAGTAGCACAGCAGCCAGGTGACAGCATCAGCTTCACTGGTGATCAGGCCTATTGGCATCATGGCCTGAGAAGGGCATAGTACCACCTCTGAGACATTCTCGACAAAAATGTATGGTTTCAATCTAATTACAAGAAAACACCAGGCAAGCCGAAATCGAATAACATTCTAGAAAATAACTGGCCAGATGAGCATGACTGAGGAACTGCCACAGCCTGGAGGGCCTAAGGAGAGGTGGCAAACAGGCCACACGGGGTGCGAGATCAGATCCCAGATCAGAGAAAGGAATCAGTGGGGAAGCCGGCAACATTCAAACCAGGGCTGCGTGTAGAAGGCTGTGTGCAGGGGCCACTCCTGCAATCCCAGCACTTTGACAGGCCAAGGTGAGAGGATGACTTGAGGCCAGGAGTTGGAGGCTGCAGGGAGCTCTGATCAGACCACTGAACTGCAGCCCGGGCCACAGAGCAAGGCTCTGTCTCTACAAGTATCAACAAGCAAGTAAAATCTGTAGATTTCTCATACTATTGTGCCAGTGCTCTTCTTCTGGTTTTAATAACTGTGCTGTGGTTCTACATAATGTTAACATTACGACAGCTTGGGGAAAGCCTACCCAAAATTCTGCATTATTTTTGCTTCTCTTCCGTAAGTCTAAGATTTCAAAGAAACTATTTTTTTTTTTTTTAACATCCATAGTTAAGGCAGCCCTGTGGGCTCTGATCATCCTTAGGGCTGCATCCTTGGCCGCCTCTGCCCAGGGCGCTGAGCCGTGACCTCACGCCACCCTCCAGCAAGGGCGGCAGCTGCTGCCTGGGGGCCGGGGAGCCTGCTCAGCGTAAGGCTCACTTGCTTTCCACTCACATTATCTGAATTCTTCACACTGAGCATTTATTACACACAATGAGAACACCTGGGAAGGAAGGGTGGTCGGGCCTGTTGGCATCATGGCCTGAGAAGGGCACAACATAATACACGAGCGTATTTATAAAATGTATGTCCTCTAGTAAGAAAATAATGTTCCAGGTCAGGTGTGGTGGCTCAGGTCTGTATTCCCCGCACTCTGGTAAACTGAGGTGGAAGTATTACCTGAGCTTAGGAATTTGAGACCAGCCTGACAAGAGTGAGACCCTGTGTCTATTAAAAATAGAAAAACTGGCTCGGCGCCTGTGGCTCAAGCTGCTAAGGCGCCAGCCACATACACCTAAGGTGGCGGGTTCGAATCCCCA